CCCGGGGGCGGCCCCGCCGGCGGGGGAAGGGGAGGCCGGGCCGAGCCCTGGGAGAGGGCACCTTGAGCTGTGCCGGGGGTGGCAGCGCGGATGCAGCCTGTGTGCAGGGAGGGGCTGGCGGCCGGGCATCCCCCTCCCCAGCGGAGCGGCGGTCGGTCCGGGGATGCCGAGAGCCCCCGGCTTTGGCGGGGGGTGGCGGGGCGGTCCGGGCAAGGGCATCCCCGCGTCCTTCCCGGGGCCTCCGACGGCGCGGCCCAGCACGGACCCTTTGGAGCCCCACCGGGCTTCGGCTCTGCCCCGGAACCACCCCGGGGGAAGGTGTCACCCTCCCCTTGCGGGGCCGGGGGTCTGGGCTGGGGGACACGCTGCTAGTTCCGCTGCCAAGCAGAGCTTTGTGAAGGTTCCCCCTCCCCCAAGGAGGCCTGATCCTGTCCTTAGGTTCAGGGAGTTTGAGGAGGGATTCCTCTCGCTCCCAAGGGGACCCCAAGATCCAGCCTGTGCGGCTTCCAGCCGAGGAATGGCAAACCAGGGGAAAAAGACTCTGCAGCTCCATCTCCTTTCCACCCCCTGAGCCCTGGGGGAGCTCAGAAGTGGCAAATGCTTCCCGGGTCGCGTGAAAGCTGCCGGGAGGGATGTATGGCTCGACTGGCTGGGGCAGGCGGCACGGCATCTTGCGGGGATGAGTGGCTGAGACCCCGCTGGCATCACTGGTGAGCCAACCGTGGCCGGCCCTGGTCCAGCGACCTCAAAGGGACTGGGGGGCCTTTGGCCAGAGGCTGGGGGAGCAGGGGGGCCCGGCTCCGACTCGTTCCGCTGCTGTTCTGGCATGCGGTTTGGGGAGGCTCGAGGGAGGGTTTGCTGGGTGCCAGTGTGGGGGTCGCTGCTGAGCCAGACCCCCGGATCTGTTCACCGCTGGCGCTGATGGGTCCCCACTGGCACGGGGGTCTTCAGGGCAGGTGGAGGTGGCCATGGGTGCTGTCTGCCCTGGCTGGGCGGGCTCAGAGCAGGGACCAGCGCCTGCACCTCCTGCTCCTGCCCTCGTGCGCTGTTCCTGGGCTGATCTGGCATCTTCCAGAGGAGCAGCCGGAGGCCCTCAGCCTTCTCTCAGGGCTCACCTCCCACACAGGGGTCTCGCGCCCTTGTGGCAGATGTTCCCATTGGGAACCCGCCGTGGGTATTCGTTGGAGCCCCCTCTTTGGCTCGCCGGCTGGGGACCAGGTTCTGCTGGAGAGCCAGGGTGAGGGGCAGCTGCACCATGTGGCCATCACCAGTCCCGTAGTGGAGGGAGCTCTGTGCCGTCCCTGCTGTGACTGGGCAAATGTGCCGGTACCAGGTGGATCGCCGGCACCCGGGGGCTGGTGAGCCAGTGGACTGTGCCCCTCTGCGCTGTCCGTGCTTCACTTCTCCCTCAGTAGCTGTGGGCTGTTGGAGGAGGCTGGGAGAGGGGTGATGGCCTGGCCCCACCATCCTGCCCACAACTGCACTGGGGCCAGAGCCTGCCCTGCTTCTCTGAGCCGGTAGAGCCGTGGTCCCGGTGGCAGAGCCCACGGTGCTGCTGAGAGCAGGGTATCCCTGCGGTGAGCCTGTGATGGGAGCGAGGCCTCAGAGGCTTCCCTGGAGCAGAGCAGCGTTGCTCCCTGGACTGGTGCTTGCGGTGGGCGGGCAGGCACCGGTCCGCGCTAGGGTGACCTTGGGGAGTCACCCTGGCCAGCGTGCCCCATGCTGGCTCCATCCATCCCGGAGTCGCTATCAAGACTTGAAACCCGTTGGGGAAGAGCCGCTGCCTGTGTTTTGATGCTGCAAGTGGCGTAGGAGAGTTCCCTGCCCAGCGGGGAGGAGCTGCAGGCAGAGCCACAGCATCGTCTGGGTCTACAAATGTGCACATAAACAGGATGGGCTCAACGTGGGGCTGAAAGCCCAGTTGTGGGGAGCCCACTCTGCTTGTGCATGTTGAGGACATGTCTATCTATTCCACGTTGGTCCTGCCTTAAAAAGAAGTATTATGTTTATCTAGTAATGATAATGGAGCATGAACCCAGCCGTGTTTGCCCTGCAAAACTCATTTTCCCGTCTTAAGATAAAATCATTACCCATCTGCATATGTGACATCATTTCATAATCGGAGTCATTTAGAGATCCTGTCCCCTCATGGACACGGCACTGCAATTATTCATGCAAAATTCAGGGGCAGACTTGCTCTGGGAACGAAAGTTGCTCTTTACATAAATATTGAATTATTAGGAAGCAGCCTGGGTGGCTGGTTGAGATCCCGAGCTGCAAATCTGATAAAAGAGACCTTGTAAATTGTGCACTGAAGTAGAGCGTCGAGCAGAGCCACCTCCTTTCCCATGCTGTGCTCAGTTGTTTTCTCAGTCTTCGCCGCTTCTGGTCTTTATCGATGAGAGGGAAAAACCCAGCTAGCATCGACTTTTTCGTTATTTCTGTTGGTGTTTCTGCACCTGTGGTATCGCTCTGGGATTGGGAATGGGAGCTGGGGGGCTGCATGCAGCCCTTGTTTCTCAGTGACCTGGGGCACATTGCTGGTCTGGCTCCCATCTTTACACCCCGTACACACCTGGGACCCAGGCAGGGGCATGTGCGGGGCCGGGGTGCTGTGAGGCATCGGGGGCAGAGATGTGCGTGGGGCCAGGGCTGAGGAGGAGGCCGGTGGCGTTCCCAGGAGGAGCAGGTGCTTCCCGGGGGTGCAGGAGCCCGGGCACGGGGGAGTGGGTTCTCCTGCTCCACGGTCGATCCCTTCCCCTGCTCGCACGGTGAGAGACTTGCATAAGCCCAGGAGGAGGATTCAGCCCAGGCGCCTTGCTGGATGCATCAGTAATGCGGAGAGCTGCGCGCAGCCGGTGATTCAGTGGTGGCGGTGCCTGTCTCCCCGTGACCCCCATGGGGCTGCCTGATACGGCTACGCCGGCATCCCCTCCCGCCGGCCCGGCACTCGCAGCCTTCCATGAGGCACGGGGCTGGGGCTGAGCTGTGGGTTTTCGCTGCTTGTGAATTTCTGTTGCGAGAGCCGGTCCCACACCTGCCTCGGGGGTAAAGCCGCATCCAGCGCATGTGTCCCTGGTGCTGCTTGGCCGGAGCCTTCCTCTTCTGGGCTTAAAATGGTTTCTGGGGCTTTGCTGCTGCCTGGATGGTGCCACAGACCTGTTGGTGCCACCGTTGGGGGTCCTGAGCGGAGGGACCGGGCTCGGCAGCTGCTGCCGCTCCCGATGTGCTTGCCAGCGCTGCTGCTGGTCCCGGTGTTACCCTTCCCTCTGGCGAGGGTGTTGGGGAGCTGCTCTCTGCCTCTGCAGCATCAGTGTGGGGCAGCCGGACCTGGCGGGTGCTGAAAGCCACCGCTCAGTCATCAGGGAAGAAAGGCTGTGACTGACTGGGGGGATTGTGAAGGTTTGGGTCCTCGAGCAGTTTGCAAAGCCTTTATCCCCTCTCCTCTCCCCAGGGACCCCCTGGGGTAAAAGGCTTTTCCAGGGGAGAGTAGCACCAGTTGTTCGTCACAACTGGCCATACTGGGACACGGGGGGTACGGATGCCGCCTTGGGCACCACACCTCGCTGCTTGCTCGGCTCAGGCAAACTTCTGCTGTTGGCTTCTTAACCCACTTCTAAAAGTGACCTCGTTTTTAGAATATAAGTATTTAGTGCAAGTTGGCGAAGCACTGGTCCCACACTGATCCCGCACTGATCCCCCTGGCCATTTGCAGCTGGGGCCCTGGTCCGAGCCGAGGGGCTCAGCCCTTGGGGGCACCTTCTGCAGAGCGAGGTCTCAGGGAGCTTCGTCTGCCCGGGCAGGCTGGTGAGTGGGCAGCTCGGTGCCCAGTCGATAGGATCACCATAGAGGGGAGCGATGCGTCGCACCGAGCCTGCAGAGGCAGCTGGATCATCCCCAGCAGCCCCCTGGAACTCTGTGTGCCAGCGGTGGAGCTGAGCGGGTACGACCCCGGTGTCTTGCGGCCGTGCCCCCCTGGACAGTGCAGGGGTTTCTCCTGGACCCCTCCCAGGCAGTAACAGCAGGCAGACAGGGAGGCTTTGCTGGTGAGGCATCAGGATTGCCCCATGCCTCTCTGGCTTCGGGGTCTCCGTCGCAGTTTTGGAGGTGCTGGAGAGGTGGCAGCTTTGTGGAGGGATGTGGTCCAGGATCTTGGGGGCAGGAGCATGGCGGGGCCCCTGGGACTTGGTGGTGGGGCTTGGCCCTGACTCAGCTCCTGCCCAGGACCTGTGGGGCAGCACGGCTGTGCCAGGCTTTGGGCAAGCAGTGAAGCAGGAACGCAGCAGCCCCCGCTCGCAGAGGCTTTTGGCATCTTCTGTCGTCATCACTGTCATTCAATTGGGTCAGAAGCAAGGGAGGGGGTGCCAAGGATCCTAATTAATTTGTATTCAGATATTTTTAGTAGCCTGGATTGGATCTTTTTTTCTATGCCCACACTGCCCTCCAAGGAAGAAAGCGTTGGCATTGCACCCAGGTCCCTGAAGAGATCGCACAGAGGCAGTCGTGTGTGTTGGGGGCGATCAGGAGCAGTTTATCTTTCTCAGCAGACCAAATTCCGCCCTGGCTCCGCCAGATTGCAAAGGGATTTGAGCCAGTGGCGAGTTTTGCCCAGCTGGCATGGTTATTTAATCTTTGTTCTTCACAGCTTTGCCTGGCTAATGCCCCCATGAGACTCGCTTTGTGCAGCAGGGTCAGTCTGCAGTGAGAGCTGCCAGGGGGTTTGCAGGACAGATCCAGCCCGGTGCTGCTGGCATGGGCTGCCCGAGCCCCAGCAGTGCCTCTGCCGATCCCAGCATCTTCTGGGGGTCGTGCTGTGTGGCTGGAACTCTGGGGGTCTGGCAGAGCCCACCACGGCTGCGGCCTCGCTGCCTGCGGGGGGTCACAGGGCACTGGAGCCGCTCGGTGCTGGTGGCCAGAGCTCGCCTGTGGGGGAGCTGGGGGGAGCACAACCTGCTCCTTCTGGCTGGCAGCTGGTGAGGGTACCCTGGAGACAGCCCTGGGTGTGAAGTCATCGTTGTGCAGCAGTGACATCACTCACAGTTGCCACGGCAACGTTTCACATGGGGAAGGTGTCATTGGAGAAAGGTCAGAAGCTGGGATGCTTGACTCCTTCTGGTCCTGCGCTAATCTGCACAGGGGGAGGTGGGGAGCGGGATGGATCTGGCCCATCTCCCATTCCTGTGTGCAGAAGGTCTCCCCCTCCTCCCCCCCTCCCCCCGGCACCATGGCCAGGGCACCCCCTGCCCGGCAGCTCCTGCCTCGGGCCCTGCGTGTCTGTGCCGTGGCACTGAGGAGCATCCTCCCCTCCTGTCCCCCGAGACCAGTGCCGGGGCGTGGGGCAGGCAGGGAGCTGGGGGCTGGGGTCCCCTCTGCACGGTCCTGCCAGGATGGGGCTGCCGTGACCTTGCAGATGCTCGGAAAGGTCATCGGTGGCCTGGAAGACGGGGACAAGGAGAAAGGAGAGAAGGACGGGGGTGAGGCAGGAGAGAATGGAGGAGCCGTGCAGCCCAGGCAGAGGCGAAAGCAAAGGCGGCTGCCTGCCCTCGCCGCCATCTGACCGGGGCTGCGGGCGATGCCGGCTCCAGCTGCAGCCGTACGTGATCTGCTGCACCGGGAGCCACGGCAGCTCCTTCCACCACGGCAGCTCCTTCCACCGCGGCCGCGCTGCTGGGTCCAACATGCAGCTGCCGCCCTGTGCACCCCCAAAACTGGGACCACAGCCTGGTCCAGGGAGGTGCCGGGGTGGGGTGGCCCTGGCTGTCCCTGGGGACTCCGTGAGCAGGGTGGGGGGAATGGGGGGGTGCTCCCAGGGGAGCGGTGGGGGAGACCAGGCTCTCCTGTCCTGCCTCCACCCATGACCTTACGTGCTGCTTGCGGAGAGCGCGATGGCCCCGCCTCAGTGGGCAGTTTGGGGATGAGGGTGGTCCCCAGCCCATGGGCTGCTCCAGGGGGGCTCGGCAGGAGGGTCCCCCCCACCAGTGCCTGGTGGCATCTTTCTCCCCTCGTTCTGGGATCTGCCTGGGTTTGGGTGCTCAGGGCAGACCTCTGGTGAAACCAGCACAGCAGGAAGAGCCCCCGGCAGCACAGAGCCCCGTGCCTCATCCTGCACACCCCTCTGCACTTGCACAGTCCTACCTCAACCAGGGACTGTGCTGGCCTGCAGGATCAGGCCTGGGGGCAGTTTGGAGAGGGGGGAGCAGGATGTGGTCCCTGGAGAGAGGAGGGGGTGCCTGGGGCCGAGGTGGCATCAGAGTGACAGCACCTGGTAACACAGGTCCCTTAGGGCAGGGCGCAGTGGCCAGGCCCCTTCCACACAGGGGGCGGCTGCAGGGCGCTGGTGACACCTTCCTCCATCTTCACTCTCCCCAGGTTTTACTGGGACTTCACAATGCTGCTCTTTATGGTGGGCAACCTGATCATCATTCCCGTGGGCATCACCTTCTTCAAGGAGGAGACCACGGCGCCCTGGATCGTGTTCAACGTGGTCTCCGACACCTTCTTCCTGATGGACCTGGTGCTGAACTTCCGGACGGGGATTGTCATTGAGGACAATACAGAAATCATCCTGGACCCCGAGAGGATCAAGAAGAAGTACCTCAAGACCTGGTTTGTGGTGGACTTTGTCTCCTCCATCCCTGTGGACTACGTCTTCCTCATTGTGGAGAAGGGCATAGACTCAGAGGTGTACAAGACGGCCCGTGCCCTCCGCATCGTCCGCTTCACCAAGATCCTCAGCCTCCTGCGGCTCCTCCGCCTCTCCCGGCTCATCCGCTACATCCACCAGTGGGAGGAGGTAAGGGTCACACAGGACACAGCCCGGCGGTGGGTGCCTCCTCTGGCAGTGGCGGGACAGGCTAGAGAGAGTGGGATCCAGGAGGTGTCCCTGTGAGGGCAGTGGGGCTCGGGGCTGCCCAAGGAGCTGGTGGGTTGGATGGGGTCTGCAGGGCTGTGTGTGGGGCCGGTGTGGAGGCAGTTTCTGGGCATCCCCCACCTTCCCTCTGCTCTGTCCCCAGTGGGACAGCTGTGACATGAGAGCACTCCTGGTCTGCTTCAGCGCAAAGGCAGTCCCTCTGGCTCCTCAGGGCCCGCTGAGCTGCAGCCAAGCCATGCCCTGTCTGTGCGTGCGTGTGTGTGCACGTGTGTGTGCATGCACATGGGTGCTGGGGTTTGCACAGCCAGTCCCAGTGCCGTGGTACAGCACTACCCACGGGTGATAGCATGGCCGGCACAAGCAGGCGTGCTGTACCGTGTTCCGCCGGCAGCTCAGCCGCATCCCCCTGCTCAGGTTGATGCTCCTTGCCTCTGGTCCCCTCTGGCTCCCTGCACCACCGGGACCTCAAGGAGCACTGGCAGGGGGCTGCAGGAGCCCCAGCCCCTCGGGGACAGCGGGACCCCCAGGTCCCCAGGGCAGGAGGCAGGGTGCTGCCTGGGCTTGGCGCACCCGGGGCCACGTGGGCTGCGAGGGGACGTGCCTTTGTGTCGAGTTGTGGCGTGCTCGGCTTTGCTGCGTGGCTCTGGCACGTGGGCAGGTGCCTCACGGCAGCTCCGCTGGTTGGGGCTGTGCAGGTTCTCGCTGCAGCACAGAGCCGGATGCGCACCCGCGGGCTGGAGGGGTGGCGAGTGCCTTCGCTCCCTCCTCCTCCTCCTCTGCCACCGCGTGTCCCCAGGCCTGGCAAGGGCAGGTGCGACTCTTGGCCAGGCATCCCCCTGTGCAGGCTCCGGCAGAGCTGCCCAGTAGTGCGGCAGGGACCCACGGTGCAGCCCAGGCACGGTGACATCAGCTCCAGGGATGGCACGGGACCCTCCCGCACCTCTGCCTTGCAAAGCCATGGGGCTGCTCTGCGAGTTGGGGTGGGCGCTGGGGGCTTGTGCCTGGCAGCCCTGCCAGGAGGGACCAGCCCCGCCATGGCCTGGCCCCATTGTGTCAGGGGTCTGACTCTGTCCTGGCCTCACCCTGCAATGGGAAATCCTCCAGCCCCTGGCACGCTGCTCTTCCCACAGCTCCATGGGGGTTCAGCCTTCCCGCACACGCAGGGCTGAGCTCAGCTGTCCCGGCCAGCGCCCAGCAGAGCCCTTGAGCCTCGCAGTGCTGCTGGGGGCTGCCCCCAGTTCCTGGGGCAGAGGAGAGGGGGGAATGGCTGCAGCTCCAGTCAGTCTGCCCGCATCTCCCTGCCTGCATCCCACTCTGCCCTTGTGCCCTTCTCCAGCTCCTTCCCCCGGGGGCTGGGCTCTGCTGTGGGAGCATCCCAGACCTCCTGCAGACTCCCTATCCCAAAGTGTGTCCGTCCCTCCCCGCCAGGGCTCTGGCTCTGCGCCCTTTTTGCTTTCAGGTGGGACATAGCAGGGAGAGCCCCGGGGATGAGTTAAACCTGTGCGTGGCTGTGCAGAGGATCCCGGTAATCACATACGCTTACAGGGGACAGGAGGGGAGCATGGCCCCAGTCCCCACTGGGACCTCCCCTGCTCTTGGAGGTGCTGTGGACTGGTGGACGCTGGTGGACGCAGCAGGAGTGTCTTGGAGGGGCCACATGTGCCTGGTTTTGCCCCCAGCAGCCTCAGCGGCAGCTGGGAGAGGGACAGCGAGGGGCTGCCCCAGGGGGGCAATCGCCAGAGTGGGGAAAGGATGTGCCCGAGGCTGGCAGAGATGGGGCTGGGGCTGCCCCTTCCCCAGCCCCTTGCACTCCACCTTGTTCCCTCCCCAGCACATCGCACCAGCTCTGACTCATCCTGCCCACACCGTGTGCCCTGCCTGGTCAGGCAGCCTCAGAGCCTGGGGCTGGGCACAGAGGAAGGGGAGGCCGTGCCCTTGCCCTTGCCCGTCCCCGTGCCTGTGCCCTTGCCCTTGCCCTGCCTTCGCCGTGCCCTTGCTGTGCAGTTGCTCCATGTGACACTGCAGGGCTCCAGCCTTGGATCTGCAGCGGTGGGAGAGACGGAGGATTTCACTGCCAGGGGGTTAATTTCTTATTGTCTCTTTTTTCCTCCTTGAATTCACCTTTTCCAGACCCTAAAAATATTCAGGAAAAGGAACAAGTCCTCAGCCCGTGGCTCAGTTTGCAACCAGGAGGACATGTCTCTACCTCCTGGGTTTGCCTGTGTGGGTGCCGTGGGGCAATGGGAGCCAAGGGCAGGCTGGGACCAGGGATGGGGCTGGGGGGGGAAGCCTTGCTCTCACAGGAGCTGCAGGCCGGTGCTAGGAGCAAGGGGTGTGCTTGGAGCACAGAGCAGCTGCTCCTGAAGGCATGCTCCTGCCCACATGCCCCTCCATGGCCAGGGCTCTGGTCCCAGACCCACCGTGGCAGGTCCTGGCAGCCATGGGACCCAGCCAGGGGCTCTCCCAGGGTGTTGTTGATGGGTCTCCGCATTTGATGCTCTTGTAGCCACCAGCTCTGGGGCCGACGCAGACCCATCCCTGTCAGGGTGGGATCTCTGGCAGACCAGACTGTGCGGAGCTGCCCTGGCCACTTTCCCCAGATTGGGGGGTCTCTCTTCAGCCCCACCCTGACGTAGGTACCTTGGACCCTTTTTACCAAAAGCCGTCCCATGCCTGCTGCCTCAGGGGCTGCCCTGCTCCCTCCCCGGTGCCTGGAGCATTTGGCTCTCCCTGAGTATCCGCCAGCACTGGCTTATCCTCATCAAAGCTCGCAGCCATTAGCGCTTTCCGGGGCGGCAGCGTGGCGGCATCCCGCTGGCTATAAATAGGCAGGCGGAACGGAGCCACTGTGGGGAGAGCTGGGGCCAGGCCAGCTGCGAGTGCCTCTTTTGGCCGAGGCCATGTGGGTCAGTGCCTGGAGTGGGGCAGGGTGGGGGGGACAGTCCCTGCACTCACCCTCTGCCATCCCACCCCGGCCCTTCCATCCACAGATCTTCCACATGACCTACGACCTGGCCAGTGCGGTGATGAGGATCATCAACCTCATCGGCATGATGCTGCTGCTCTGCCACTGGGACGGCTGCCTCCAGTTCCTCGTGCCCATGCTGCAGGATTTCCCCCAGAACTGCTGGGTCTCTATCAACGGGATGGTGGTGAGTGCTGGCCCCAACCCTGCTCCCTGCCTGCTCCCCCGGGCCCCTGTCCATCCCCATGTTGTCTGGCCTCTCTCCACTGACCCGAGGAGATGCCATCCCTGCGCCGGCCGGTGCTGTGGTGCCCCGATGGTGTGAGCGCGGAGGGTGCGCAGGGCACCCCATGCCTGCTGCGGATGGTCTCCCTGGCGAGGTCTCGCAGGACCTGGGGCAGCGGATCAATCTGGGTGGGAGGAGGATGCTGACACAGTACTCTGCCCCGTCCCCTGCTGCCTCCTCCTGCTCATTAGCAGCAAAGCTGCTATTAATAAGTAATGGACCATGTTTCTAATTGCTCCCTCTCAGCCCTGCAGCCTGCTACAAATGGCTCTTCTCCCTCCATCCATCTCGTCCCGTTCTGCCAGTGTTTCCATCTCTGCTGCATTCCCCCTGCCTGGCTTCCTCCCCTTCTTCTCCTTCCCCAGCTGCTTCGCTCCTGGGGGGAGCCTGGGGCTTCACAGGAGCCCATCCCTGCCTGCAGCTGCCTGCTGTCCCAGCCACAGCCCCAGGCTCCCGAGCGCAAGTGCTGCAATAACTCAGTGGCTTCCACAAACTCAGAGCTTGTTCCTGTCACAGCATTTCACAGGGGCTCACTGCACTTTCATATATCAGCTTAAAAAAAAGATAAAATGACGGACTACCTAAAGCGAAGCCAGGCGTGAGGTGCAGAAACCTGCTGGGAAGGAGCAGAGCCCTGTGGGATCCCTGCAGCACCAGCCGTGCCTGGCACTTGGGTTTGTTTGGCTCTCACCTGTGTGGTGAGACATTCACAAACAAATCCTATCGCCAAGTGCTGTTGGGAGATGCAGGCAGAGAACCTGGCTTGTCCGCAAGGCCTGAGTCAGGGCATCGTACCCATGGGTGCCTGTACACACGCATACACACATGCATGCACATGTGCATGCGAGCAGCTGTGCACCAGCCAGGACTGAGCACTGCCACCATCTCTGTCGCTGCAGAATGACTCCTGGAGCGAGCTGTACTCCTTTGCCCTCTTCAAGTCGATGAGCCACATGCTCTGCATCGGCTATGGGAAGCAGGCACCCGAGAGCATGACGGACATCTGGCTGACGATGCTGAGCATGATCGTGGGGGCCACCTGCTACGCCATGTTCATCGGCCACGCCACTGCCCTCATCCAGTCGCTGGACTCTTCCCGGCGCCAGTACCAGGAGAAGGTAGGACTGGGCTGGGCAGGGACCATAGTTCCAGCTGTTGCATTCCCTCCTGGAGCTGCACTGGCGCCTGTGGGTGCAGCCAGGCAGGGCAAGACCTCCATATCGATGCCATTGGTGGGGCAGGGAGTGGGAACCGCCAGCCAGGAGGGGCCTGGGACCCACCCCATGGAGCGGGGATGTGGGTGGGGGGTCCCGGCCTTGTAGCCCCAGCCTGGCTGGGTGCTGACACCGCCTCTCCCCGCAGTACAAGCAAGTGGAGCAGTACATGTCCTTCCACAAGCTGCCCGCTGACTTCCGCCAGAAGATTCACGACTACTACGAGCACCGCTACCAGGGCAAGATGTTTGACGAGGACAGCATCCTGGGCGAGCTCAATGAGCCCCTGCGTGAGGTAAGGGCCCTGGGGGCTGCAGAGCTGGGCGTGGGATGCTGCAGGGAGGATGGGGAATGCCCCCCTCCCGCAATGAGGGTCCCCCCTGCTCCCTGCCATGGCGGGAGGCTGTGGGTCCCACCAGCTCCTGCAGTGCATGTACTTGGGGTCAGACACCTCTTGCTCCAGCTTTGCGGCTCCGAGTGCGAGCGTGTCCGCGCACAGATTTGTGCGCTGGGTTGTCTGTGTGTGTGCTGACACCTCTGTGCTCGTGAGCCTGCCCTGGGGAAGCCATGTCCCTGCCTCCTTCCCCTGCAGGAAATTGTGAACTTCAATTGCCGCAAGTTGGTGGCCTCAATGCCGCTGTTCGCCAATGCGGACCCCAACTTTGTCACGGCGATGCTCACCAAGTTGAAGTTTGAAGTGTTTCAACCGGGCGACTACATCATCCGCGAGGGCACCATTGGCAAGAAGATGTACTTCATCCAGCATGGGGTTGTCAGCATCCTCACCAAGGGCAACAAGGAGATGAAACTCTCTGATGGCTCCTACTTCGGAGGTGAGCACTGCTGGGGCTGAGCCATGTCCCCCTCCCAGGCTCTATGAGAGGCACAGGGACCCCCACGCTGTCCTGGGGCACACACCCCTCAGTGGTTCTCGCCCCTTGCTCCTGGCCTGTCCCCGTTTCCAGTTCTTGCTGGTGGTGTTTTGACTTTGGCACTGGTGTATCCTCCGCAGAAATCTGCCTGCTGACCCGTGGCCGGCGCACGGCAAGTGTCCGGGCGGACACCTACTGCCGCCTCTACTCTCTCTCAGTGGACAACTTCAACGAGGTGCTGGAGGAGTACCCCATGATGAGACGGGCCTTTGAGACCGTGGCCATTGACCGCCTCGACCGCATCGGTAGGGCACAGGGACCACTATGGGGGGCGGGGGGGGGGGAGGGGGCTGTCCAGCCCAGCTGTGGCTGGGGCAGGGGGGCCCAGCATAGCCCCACCACAGGGTCTCATGGCACTCCGCATGCCGGCACCCTCCCTGCAGGGAAGAAGAACTCGATCCTGCTCCACAAAGTGCAGCACGACCTCAACTCGGGGGTCTTCAACAACCAGGAGAACGAGATCATCCAGGAGATCGTCAAGTACGACCGGGAGATGGTGCAGCAGGCGGAGCTGCAGCAGCACACGGCCATGTACAGCCCCGTCCAGCCCCAGGTCACCTCTGCCATTGCCACCCTCCAGCAAGCCGTCGCCATGAGCTTCTGCCCGCAGATGGCCAGCCCGCTGGTGGGCTCCATGGCCCTGGGCTCACCCCGCATGATGCGCCGCTTGCAGTACGCCCAGGCCGTGCCCAGCCCCTTCGCCGTCTCCCCCGTCTTGCTGCCGCAGAGCCCCCCGCAGCAGCCGCAGCCCCCCGCGCCCCACGCCAACCCTTCGCCCTCGCAGGACCAGGCCCAGCCCGCGGCCCTGCCCGCCTCCACCAGCGCCTTTGCCGCCGCTGCGGCCAGCCCGCCGTCCCAAAGCCCCCTGGCCAGCCGGACGTTCGTCTACGGAGGTGCCCCGGGGCAGCTGGGCTCCCAGCTCTCCCTCAGCCAGCAGCAGGCGCCCGGTTCGCCCCAGCACCTGGCCGCCCACAAAAGCACACAGGCGCTGCACACCAGCAGCCTCAGCCAGGATTCGCGGCCCTTGTCAGCCTCGCAGCCCTCCCTGCCCCACGGGCTGGCAGCCGGCAGCACCCAGAGCCCCCCGGCCTCGGCCCGCGAGTCCTGCGCCTCCATCGGTGGGAGCCCGGCTGTTGCTTCACCGGGCCCTGGCCCCTCGGCCGGATTGCGGGGCCAGGCATCCTCACGGGGGACCCCGGCTCACCCGGCGTCCACGGGCTCGGTGCACGCGGGGCCACCCGCCCTGCCGCAGGACTCGGCGGCGGCCCGCAAGGATTCGGCGGCCGGCACGCCCGACACGGACCCGGCCAAGTCCAGGCTGTCTTCCAACTTGTGACCTCCGTGCCACGCCAGGCGTGGGGATGAGTGCGCCGGAGGGGGCTGCGGCAGCGAGTCCCATCTCATCCCGTGCCCGTCCTGCGCTGCCCTGTCAAGGAGCGTCGGGCGAGGGCCACGGCCGCCCCACCAGCTGCCTCCCCCCACCACGGGGCCAGCCCCACTCCCCGGCTTCCTCCCTCCACACGCTGCAGAGCGGGGCAACAGCCGGGGGGAGTGGATACAGGGCCTCTGCGGCCCCCCCCCACCCACCATGGGGGCACGGCGGGGAGCCGGGCTGAGCCCCCGGCTGCGTCGCCGCCGACCAAAGTCTGGGCCCATCTCCCGCTCCCCGTGGCAAAGCCCTGCTGCCCCCAGCCTCCCCGGCTGCCCCATAGAAGCCACAGCTGCATCATCCCCCCCCGTGATCAACTCTGTATATGATGTATATGACCTGAATACATACCTGTATGTGTGCATCCGCAGGACACCTCCCTGGGGCTTTAGGCACGCTTGCGCGTGTCCCAGCCTCCCCTCTCACAGGCCCAAGGCGAGGGGTGACGGTCCAGGACTGGAGGTAAGTTGGGGAGGGTCTGAGGGACAGTCACCCTGAGGCTTGCGAGCACCCCACACACATGCTGTCCCCCAACCTGACCCCCCCCCCGAAGCCTGGGGGGGGGGTAAATGCAGCCCGACCTCCCCTAGTCAGTGTTAGGACGGAGATAAGACGCTGGAGCCTGGGGACCTGAGCCCTGGGGCTGCCCCACAGGCAGTCCCAGCTTTAAGGCTGGGGAAGGCACACAGCATGTGTACCAGCGTGCTTGTGTGTGTGCACTGACGGACGCATGTGCGTACAGGTGTGTGGGTGCAGGGGTGCGTGTGTGCGTGCGCATGTATGCCCCTCTGCCTAGCACTCCGCAGCCTTCCACGTTGAATGTATGCAGTGACTGCGAGCGAGGGGCCACACGCCAGCCCGGCGCCCTGTAGCCACACATCCGGCGGGACAGGGCCCCGCTCCAAGCGTCCACCTTTCCATCCAGCCCATCCTGTGCAATAAACGTCAGCAGCTGACAGAGCTACGCACGACTCCGTCTCTGCTTCTTCGCCACCGTTCCTCCCTGCCGCGGCTCCGGCTGCTCCTGATCCCCTTGCTCAGCCCTGGGAGCCCTGCCACTGGGCACAGCCCCAGGCTGGGCTGCAGGAGGCAGCTTTGTCCTTTGAAGAGCTGCTTCCCTGCCAGAAAAATGATGAGGTGAAAAGCCTCCTCCCAGAACCTTTTCCCTTGCTGGCAGTGCCATGTCCCTGCTCCAGCATCAGCAAGAAAGGAACTGGGAGCAGGCTGCAACCTGGAGCCAGTGGGTACAAGGCTCAGCCAAGAGCTGGGCCAAACACAGCTCCAGCTGCAAGATCACCAGACATCAGCTGCTGCAGGAGCAGCACACAAACATGCAGCCCTGAGGAGAGGAGGGTTGGAAGACCACAGTCTTGGTGAGACAGGAGGCTCCTGGCTAGAAATGCAAGAGCTGGGTAGCTGCAGTTAGCCCCTGCGAGAACCCTGCTCTCACTGCAGCAGCCGGTCTGTGCTGCATGGAAGTTTTGTCTCTGTTTCTGCTACAAAAGCATTTCCAGAGTGTGACACCTCTGTGAATAACTGAAGCCCAACCAGTCAGCAAAACAGCCGCAGTCTGGGGAGGCATCAGTCCCACCTCCCAAGCAGCCCCAGGAAGATGAAGCAAGAGCCCAAGTACCCTGCAAACTTCAGGCAAAGGTGCCAAGAAGGACAGAGTTCCCATCTAGTATTTCAAAAAAACCATTTTATTTACAGTATCATACACCTTCACCCCCATGTTAGTGGTTTTCCCTGCCTGAGACCCAGTGAGCAGAAGTGAAACCAATCCCTGGAAATGAAAGTCAAGAGCCACAGAGGCTGCACTACAGGAGAGTGGTGCTAGTACCCAGCAGCCAGAGCAGGGCATGGAGAGCAGCACCCACCCCACAGCCAAGAGCGGGGCAGGAGGCTCCTGCTGGAGCCACGGCCCGCTGCCAGCCCCTCCAGGCAGGGGCCTAACACTCCAGGAGGTCTGACTCCACTGGCAGAGAGGGATGGCACCCCAGGACAGGTGCTAGCCAGGCAAGCTCTGGAGCTCACAGCAGAGGCGGGCACAGTGTACAGTACCATTGCCCCTTTGACTCCACACCAGAGAGATGCAGACGTCCCCCCTTGCCTGGGACGCAGACAGTAACAGCAAACAGTGCGGACACCCTGTCCCCCACCGGCCCCTTGTGGCTGCTCCTGTGCTCCTTGCATGGTTGCAGTTTGCCCCAGCATCTATGTTGGGCAGGTATCTTTTGCTGGGCTGGTAGCCATACCCACTTTCCCCATGAGACGCAGGACAGAGGAGCTTCGTGGGCCAGTGCCTGCCACAGCCTCTGAGGCAGCTGGCAGTCCAGAGGTAGTCAGGGGCCCTGCTGGCTGCTAGGGCTCAGCTGAAGAAATAGGTGGAATCCATCACCTTCTTCAGGTTGAATTTGCCTGGAGGAAGTGAGGGAGAGGAGAGGTCAGAGGAGAGCAGGGTCAGGGCAGGGTGGAGATGGGACAACTGGGAAAGAAGCTGCCCCAAGCCCTGCTTCAGCTTCCTGCAGAAAACTACTTCAGCTCAGGCCATGATGCACGATGGGTCAAGACAGCAGGGATCTTAGAGCTCCTCCAGGAACTGATGTCCCTCCAAATTTATCTGGGACAGTGGCAGGAAGAGTAAGACAGAAGAGCATAACAGCAGCAAGGCAGGGGAGGAAGAGAGGAGCACACAGCCTCAGGGTATGAACCATCCCTACCACTGGATTGTGCTGCCTCTGGGGCTGACCACAGCAGCTGCTCAGCAGCAGCAGAGCACTGGCCTGTTCAGCTTTGCAAAGGCAGAACAAAGGTTAGCCAGATGGTCTGGCAGAGGCAGGGCCGAGAGATTAGGAGGAGTTAAACTAATTGCCTTAATCCCATTGCATGTATATCATCTAGATCCTGGCAATTACCATGCTGAGTGCCTCACTCCCATCTCCAGGCAAATGCCTCGTGGTTGGAAACAGATGGGAGAGGAACAACAAGATTGGAGACGGGATGAGCTGGGTCAACCTGGGGAAAATCCCAGGGGCTCAGCTCTGGGGAAGGCAGGGACTGCTTGCAGGGGAATGTCTTAAGGCACTGCCCCATGGGTCTACAGTCCAGCACAGGCAGGAAAACCTGATCTTAGGGGATAGCTTTAGCACAGCTGGCCAGACCCTCACTATGTCCAACTTCAGACACCACATGAGCTTGGTGATTTTGGGGGCCACTCCCCATCTCACTCCCCTTGTCTCCAAACTGCTCCTTAGCTTTGCAGTTCCTGTCCTGTGCTCCTACCTGTCTTGGGGACATTTGACAGCTGCTCCATCAGTTTCTTCTGCCAGGGGGCTCTAGTCTCTCTGCCGGACCTGGATGAACAAGAAGGAAAGCAAATCAGCATGGGAGCTCTGGGAGAAGGTGCACCCTCCTCTGCTCCCCAGTGCAAGCCCCTGACAACAGGATTCAGCTCTTCCAAAACACATTGCACACCCTGCAGCAGGAGCAGGAGCTCAGCCCTTACCCACAGCAGCCCTAGGCAGGTGCTGAGGCATCTACAGACCCTGCCCAGGATTGGGTTGGTCTGTGCTGTCTGGCTCTGCAGTGGTAACTGAGGGCCACTCACTGGGCCAACCCAACGCGTGTCTTCACTGCTCCTGACTGTGAGGAGCCCAAGGCACAGACATTACGACCTACCCCAGGCCCACCGAACAATTCAAGCACCAAATCCTACTTCAGTAGCAAAAGGATGCAGACACCTTGTTTTTCACACTGAGATCTAAGGCAATTTGGGCGTCAGTCAAGAAGGAAGCAGAACTTCCCTCCAGAGCAACCCCCAGGCAGATGACACAACCTGTGAGCATCTGGGCACAACCACCCCTGGGAGAGGGAATCAGTGCGGGTAGGAAGGACCGTGGTGGGGGTTTGCCAACAGGTGAGGAATACCTGCAGTACTTCTCCAGCAGGAAGTTGGACAGATCCTGCAGGATCTTCTCGCTGTGCAGAGCCACAAATTGCTGCCGACAGATCTGATCCAGGGAGCAATGGTGAGTTGCAGGTTAACAGGTGTTTTCCCCTCCTTCCCCTCAGTGCTTTCTCAACCAAGACAGGTCAGAGTGAGGGAGAGGAAAAGCAGCAGGCAAGAGTGGGAAGGGGGGGCTGCCAGAAAAGGGTGAAGGGAATCAGCTTGGGAAGGGGGGAAGCAGAGGCTCCATTTATCAATCCACTGTACAACAGCCCTTGCAGCACTCCAGGGGAAAGAGCCCAGGGGCACCGACTCTGCTAGGCACTGTGTTCAGTGCTGCTTTACAGGCACAGATTCTCAGAGACACACTCTGTGAAGGGTGGAAGGAGATGGGGCTATGGCACCAGGAAATCAGCTGCAACCACCAGCAAGCACCCCAGGTTCACCTTGCCTAGGTGAATAAATCAGCCTGTGGAGCAAAGCCCAGGGGAGGCAAGGGCTGGCAAGTGCCCAGAGGACAGATCAGCAAGATCCCTGCTCGCACGGGACCCAGGAGGACATTTTTACCTGGTTCATAATGTCCACGGTGAGCGCGTGAGTCCAGTAGCAATCGTGGACTGAGACGAAGGTCATACCCTGCCTGGGAGGCAGCAGAAGGTGCCATGAGAGAGTGCCGAGAGCCCCCTCTCTGCGACATTCCCTACCCCATGTTGACCCTCTTGCTAGGACATAAGCAGGGACCATGCAAGGAAGGGGACTCCCTGCAGATCTTCAGAGAGACGTGGCTAACCCCATGATCTCCCTTGTCCCTGCCCTGCTGCCTCCTCTCCATCCCTTCTCTGCCAGAAGCCCCAACACCCACGCACCAGGGAAACCTCTTTCCCACATTGCATGCTTTGCCCTGATGACACTTTCCCAGCAGAGACTGAGTCCCGGAGCCAGGGAAGAGCCCTGGCTGCCC